CAAAATCTTTTCTAGATTCTGGTTGTACCAAAATAGGATCTTTTGTTAATATATTCTTCAATTTATTAAAACTTTCCTGACATTTATCTATCCAAACAAATGACACATCATTTCTCAATAGCTTAGTAATTGGAGCAACAATCATTGAAAAGTCTTTCACAAACCGTCGATAATAATCAGTTAATCCTAAGAAACTTCTCACCTCAAAACATTATCCGGGGTTCACCATTCAATGATTTCTTGAACCATTTTAGGATCAACCAGAATTCCTTCGAAACTATGTGTCCAATGAAACTACTTCAAGTAACCAAAACTCACACTTTGACGACTTTGCATATAGTTTCTTTTATCAGAGGATCTGTAGAACTATCCAAAAATGAGTATTATGATCCAATTTGATTTTAGAATAAACCAATATATCATCGATGAATACCACCATAAATTAATCTAAATATGGCTGAAATACCCGATTCATTACATCCATAAAAGTTGTTGCTGCATTCATAAGCCCAAATGAAATTACTACAAACTCATGATACCCATATCTAGTTTTGAAAGTTGTCTTTGGTATATCATCTTCTTTGATCTTCAATTGGTGATACCCAGATCGAAGATCAATTTGAAAAAATACTATGGTTCCTTTAAGTTGATCAAATAGATCATCAATTCTTGATAAAAGATATTTATTTTTCACTATTACTTTATTAAGTTGACGTTAATCAACATATAATCTTATTGATCTTTATTTTTACAAACAGAACTGAAGCTTCCAAAGGAGATATATTAGGTCGTATAAAATCTCTATCCAATTACTCTTATAATTGAGCTTTTTACTCTCTATGTTTTGTAGGAGTCATCTTATAAGGTGCTATTGATATTGGTGTCGTTCAAGGAAGCACATCAATACAAAATTTCACTTTTCGATCTGGAGATAATCTCAACAATTTATTTGGAAATACATCCGAAATTTCCGTATTGTTGGTATATCCTCTAGATTTGCCTTTGTATTTATCACATGAGCTAAATACGTTTCGCACCCATGTAATAATAACTTTATGACAGTTACAGTTGATATCACATTGCTTCAGATAATTCGATTTTTTACCTACATATCTTATCTCTAAACCATAAGATTAATCTTTTAAACCGACATTTAACCGTAGCATTATATGCCGATAACTAATCTATTCCTAGAATTTTTCGAACTTATGGAATGGTAATTTCATAAGATCGATTGGGAATTCAATTTCCTACATACCCAACTTATCCTTGCATTTTAGCTTAGATGATTAGTTGGTATAATATATCTCGATGTTGGTTATAGAGGAATCTTCTATCTTAATCAATCTAATACAACCATCATTAATTTCAAACGAGTAAGAAGTTGCATCCATTCATACAACCATCACATCAGTAATTTTAACATTTGATTGGCATGTATATAATTTCTATTTGCTAGAGATCCTATTCATATTCAGAACAGACTAAACATATAACTCTGATATTAATAAATGTAACATCCGTCAAAACGTTGCAACATTTCGTAGCAGGACGCACAAGATTAGGGACAGCGGTGGTATTTCGAAAAAACGATTTGGATTTCACCGTGAAATGGCGAAACGCGTTCCCTCGATCTGTTTTCGACTTTTCGGACAACCCCTTGATATACGGGGGATCCGGTCTAACCAAAATTAAAAAAAAAACCCCTCGAATACCTGCTGAAAGTCTCCTCATTTCATCTCCACATCCAACCATCATCTACCACCCGGAATACGTAAACCCCCAAAACTGAATTAAAAAACCAATCCTTTTTTTTTAAAATTTTTTGGTTTAGTTTTTTTATTAGTTTCAAGATTAAGAAACTCATTTCAGATATGTTTCAAGGTTCAACTTTTGTTGGAAGCTAGAAAGACGAGTTATTTGCTTGTCAAGTGAAGAAGAAGCTGAAAGGTTGGTTCTTTTCTTTTTGGGGTGGGGGGTGGGATTTAGCTATTTTAGTTCACTCTGGTAGTTCTTGAGCAAAATCTGAACTGCCCTTTTTCATAAATTTGGTTTCTAATAATTGTTTTATCTTTTAGAGTTCATATTGCAGTTCTTGAGCAAAATCTGAACTACCCTTTTTCATAAATTTGGTTTTTTTGTAATTGTTTACTCATTTCAGAGGTCATTTTGCAGTTCTTGAGCCAAATCTGAACCACCCTATTTCATAAATTTGGTTTTTCATGTGTTTTAACATTTCAGAGTTCATTTTGCGGTTATCAAGCAAAATCTGAACTACCCTATTTCATAAATTTGGTTTATTTTCTTACTACTTTTTTTTTATCATTTCAGAGTTAGTTTTGCAGTTCTTGAGCAAAATCTGAACTACCCTTTTTCATAAATTTGATTTTTTAAATATTTTTTTACCATTTCAGAGTTCATTTTGCAGTTCTTGAGCAAACTCTGAACCACTTTTCATAAATTTGGTTTTTTATAATTGTTTTGTCATTTCAGAGTTCATTTTGCAGTTCTTGAGCAAAAACTGAACTACCCTTTTTCATAAATTTGGTTTTTTATAATTGTTTTGTCATTTCAGAGTTCATTTTGCAGTTCTTGAGCAAAACCTGAACTACCCTTTTTCATAAATTTGTGTTTTTATATTAGTTTATCATTTCAGAGTTCATTTTGCAGTTCTTGAACGATTTCTGAACTACCCTTTTTCATAAATTTGGGTTTTTTAATTGTATAATAGGAAAAATCCATGTTAGGTTTCCAGATCAAGGTCTGATTTTGTTTTAGGTTCAAAGGAAAATGTAGGAAACTAGTCGAAAATCATAACTTAGATTTATTCTTTTAGTTTGTATTCATCTAGTAAGTAGATATTCTGAGAAATGAGTTTAATATCTGGTTTATTGTATTTTTTTTTCTCAGATTCCTCGGTATTTAAGTCAGGATACTGAGATAACTTTCAGGGAACTCTTATGAACTTTTTAGTTAAATGGCTTATCTTGTTTAGCGTTTTTCAAGTAAATGATGGGTAGAAATCTTAGCCCGATATTGCGGCGAGAATTGGCCAACCTTGACAAAGACGCGGACAGTCGGAAATCTGCAATGAAGGCACTGAAATCATATGTGAAAAACTTGGATTAAAAGGCGATACCGGTGTTCCTTGCTCAAGTTTCAGAGACGAAAGAAACCGGGTGTGTGTCGGGTGAATACACCATTTCCCTCTATGAAGTTCTTGCACGGGTTCATGGTGTGAAGATTGTTCCTCATATTGATAGCATAATGTCTACCATTATCAAGACATTAGCTTCCAGTGCAGGCTCTTTTCCTCTACAACAAGCTTGTTCGAAGGTGGTTCCTGCGATTGCAAGATATGGGATTGATCCAACCACTCCAGAAGATAAGAAGAGGCATATTATTCACTCGCTTTGTAAGCCTCTTTCCGAATCTCTTTTAGGTTCCCAAGAAAGCTCGAGTACGGGAGCTGCCCTTTGCTTGAAGGCGCTAGTAGAGTCTGATAACTGGCGGTTTGCTTCTGATGAGATGGTTAACAATGTCTGTCAAAATGTAGCTGCTGCTTTGGAGGACAAGTATATTCAAACAAATGCACATATGGGGCTGGTTATGGCTTTGGCTAAGCATAATGCTCTGATTGTTGAAGCATATGCTCGATTGCTAATAAAATCCGGGTTGAGAATATCGAATGCGGGGCTTGCAGAAGGTAATTCTCAGAAACGATTTTCCGCAATACAAATGATAAATTTCTTGATGAAGTGGTTGGATCCAAGGAGCATACACTCTGAGGTAGAGTTGATTATAGAAGAGATGGAGAAGTGTCAATCTGATCAGATGGCTTATGTTAAAGGGGCTGCTTATGAAGCTTCTCAAACTGCAAAGAAAATAGCACAAGAGGAAGGGTCTAAATTCGAGAACAGTTGTGGTTCAGTTACTGGATCGAATTTTGGTAGGAGAGACCTCAGCCGTAGGAGGAACATAGGCACAACTAGTGATGAATCTCCTGCAACAGCTTCACCCGAATCACAGACGCTTGATTCCTTTATGGAATATGATTCTTTGCTTGAGTCACCAATTTCAATGAATCAAATTTCTCGTAACATGGAATATGATCAAAGGTCCGTGAATCGGAAGCTTTGGAGATATGAAAATGGAGGTGTAGATGTATCGCTTAAAGATGGTTTGTTTTCTACTGTTGCTTAAGGAGCTTCCGTATGCAATTCACCTTCTGACCTTCTCAGCAATCATGGATCCAAGTTCATGGATGAATTTTCGGGATTCTTGCATAGGGGTCCTAGAAATGGGTTACCTAGAAGTGCCACTCCCAGTCCTCAGGTAAAATACTCTACATTGTTCATGTTGATTTGGCCCTCTTATTTGTTTGTTTAAACTGCATTTGCATTGTTACATTTTGTTCTTCATAGGTCACGGTCACGGATTAACGTAGACAACCTATTTACGACTCCGAGGAGGCTCATCCGATCTCTTCAAGATCCAAATGATTTGAACTCGGACTATGAGAAACAATTCAGGAGGTTCAGAAATCCATGCTCAGAGAATTTCGGATCCAGTCCAACCACAAACCGCAATGGTTATCAGTGCGCTACCATCAATAAGGCCAAAAGCAAAGCCCGTTCGTACACTGATGGTGAAAACCAAGGCATATCTGAATCTGTATCATCGACTGATGATAGTCCTGCCGAGCTTGAGCTTGATGTCCAAGGGCCTAATGTTGCCGATCCTGTGAATGAGAAAGGAAGTCTTGAGTTTCGAAATGAGAAAGTACGTACAAGGATGGCTTATAAGATGTTTCTCGGCCTTTTTTTATTATAATTATAGCCCTCACTTCTTTGTTGTTGACTGAAGTTGAGGATGAAAGCTTCTATATTGTTCCAACTTAGGTTCACTCTACTGTGCTTGTATCGAACTCTTTCAGTCCCTAGTGATTAGTGAATTAGAAACGGTGTTAGGAAGAATGTTGGAAAACAGGTCTTTTCAATGTCCCTTTTCCGTAGCAGTTTTTTCACTGTTAATGAACAAAATCATTGGTTGTTCCATTTATGTGCTTGGTATCATGGCTAGGGGTGTAATCCAGCTGAGCTGAGTCCGAACAATGACAAACTTGTTCTTATTCAAAAAAAGGCACTCGATATTTGGTTCAAATTCTATCACAACAATTTTCAAATTCGAATTCAACTTGAGACATAATCAAACTTGACTACACTCGTTTATCAACTTTCCGAGTTGAACTCGAATGGTTTGGGTGTCCCATTTACACTGAGAACGTGATATTTTTGCAGTCAACACTAAAAAAAACGACCCCTTTTTCTTTCACAAGAAGGAAAGCTTATAATTTGCCAGAAACGCTTGAAAGTTTACATGATGAGTATAAAAGCATGCTCAAGGATGATTTACAGAAAGCATCAATCATTGGAATTATATACAATTACAAGTTGTCATGCTCAAATTTCACCATGTTTCCCTGTAACACAGACAATCACCATTGAAGCTTTACAAGGAACCTGGACTGGATCAAAGATTCAGATTTCACTGCTCAAGATGAACATGAGAGTTCAAAATTCGACGGCAACAGATAAAGTCTGCAGTAGCCCCAGGCCTTTGATGAGTTTAAAAGCATGCTCAAGGATGATTTACAGACGTTATCAAGGATGATTCCAAAATCTCAAACACCTACAGAACATTAAAAGTTAACAGAATCAACAATTACCAATGGTCAAATCATTACTTGTAAAAGCATGATGCAAACCTTGATCATTGCTTTAGGATAACCACTGATGAGTTCATGCATGTACAAGCTGATCCAAATAAGCACCTATGCATTTTGTATAAGCTCCTCTTGCTGAGACTTGCCTGCTAAAACTAAAATCTTCATTGCAGACCCGGAAGTTTGCCGGATATAGAGACAGCATCAATGGCAACAAAGGGATTGTCTAAATGACTATTACAGTTCTCCTTATTGCTGTTGGTCAGTGGAAGGTCCTTGTTCTTATACCCTTTTAGTCCAGGTCGTTTCTTCAGCACATTTAAACCATCCATAGCATGACCCCTATCTTTGTTGTTACCAACATTATAGAACCCTTGTCCTTTCTACCAGGCATAGTAGCCATATGATCCAAAAGCAGAACCCCCTCTAATGGCGTCTCCGTAATGACAGTAGGCCATGTTGTTAGGGTGCATGTGGTTCAGGTATCCAAGTGCTTGGACTACACTTGACGATGGTCGTCCATTGCGCAAATTCTGCCAAGTGTTATCCGCCGAGTGTCGCTCGGTCTCTTCATTATAGAAGCTCAACCTCTTGCTTCGAGGAGTTTATATTTTTGAATGGCTGATGATAGTTCGCTGTTACTATTGTTCGCGTTGCAGGAAAAATGGGCAAAAAACCTCTACATTCCATCAATTTGTTACGGGCGGACAGCCTGCCAATTCTGGTGTACATTGTGACAGTCCAAAATGAACAAAGAATGTTAAAAAATCTGAAGCTGCTGAGGTATTTTTGGTCTTCACAATGGATGGGGTTTGTTCTGCTATAAAATCTCCTCATTTGTGAATGTAAGCAGGGGTAAAAGAAAGAAGAAAATTAATATAATTTGAGAACCTCAGAAAGTAACGGCAGCCGTTTGTTGAATCATATATGATGCTTTGAATCCAATTGTACATCTTGTAATGATCTAATGATTATTTTCCTTTTTATGTTACAGTCTAATTCTTGAATTATCTCAAATTTCAATGGACCAAAATAAAATGTTGCAGGGTTTTCCAGAAAATTTTCTGATGGAAACACACATTTGCAGAAAACCTAATTCAATAGGGAATATTATATTCGTTGATCTTCACAATTATGTCATCACAATAAAAAACAAAAGATATCAACTTTGACCATCCAATTCTTTATACCCAAATTTTGATATGATTCAACGAGCTGATAATGACTAAAGATTACTTTATGAAAAATCTGACTAATTCCAACATACCATCATCACTCTATGACTATAATTTATTCTTTCCTACTGGAAAAATTGCAATTTCTCTTCACTTTCCCATCAATATTTTACATTACAAAGATTCACCCTTTGACTACCATGCATGAACCAGTGTAATTACTTCCTCCTTTAAAAGTAGCAACCAGAAGCAGATTTAGTGGGAAAAAAGTAAACATCAAAAGCTAAAAAGATGGCAAATTTATGCTTACTTTTTAAATCATGGTATATAGTTTTTGTTCTAAGTCTCGGCTTCATTGGTTCCTTTCCATGCCTTCATGAGCAACGAGATGCTCTCCTGGAGTTCAAGGATTTACTCGTTCCAGACTCGACGAGAGATGACAACTCGAAATATTTGTTTCTTGGTGGCTTGGAGACATGGAATTACAGTTCAGAATGTTGTCAGTGGGCTCTGGTGGAATGTAGTTCCAGTTCATCTTCACAACAAGCGATCGGTCTCAATCTTTCTGTTGTTTTTCCCACACTAGGAAAGACTTAAAATGATTTGGCATCGATTTTCTGGATCAAGACCTTGAAGTCGCTCGACATTTCCTACAATTCCATACAAGGTGAAATTCCAGGGATTGGACTGGGAAATTTGAGTGAACTGGTGCATCTTGACATGAGAGGAAATAGCTTTAATGGTTCAATTCCTCTGCAGTTGTTTCATTTGACTAATCTGGAATTCCTTGATCTCAGTGGCAATATGATCGAAGGAGGGTTACCCAATGATGTTGTTGGTCTTAAAAGATTGAAACAGTTGAGCTTGGATGCCAACTTCATTCATGGAGAGCTTCCTGAAGAAATTGGAAGCCTCACTGAACTGAGGAAGTTAACGGTTTCTGGCAACCGAATATCCGGTAGGATTCCATTGTTGATATTGCAGCTAGCAAAGCTTGAAGTTTTAATCCTGCAGAACAATACACTTTCCATGGAGATACCATTTGACAATGGGAACTTGGTGAATCTAACATCTCTAGACTTGAGCAAGAATCTTTTGACTGGCGAAAAATCCCTTCGTCTGTTCGGAAGCTGAGGAAGCTGAAGAACAATATGCTGTCTGGTGAGATCCCAACATGGCTATTTGATCTCAAGGAGTTGAAGTTGCACCTTGGAGGAGACAGATTAACATGGAACAACATCACACGATCGAGCCGATGTGTAAGTTGTCTTCATTATCATTGAGATCTTGCAGTGTTAGAGGGGAGATTCCTAGCTGGATCTCCAATCAAACTGATCTTATTTTCTTGGACTTGAGTGAAAATGATCTTGAAGGAGATTTCCCCCAGTGGTTAGCAGCTGAAAGAAGTCTTGGAACTATTATTCTATCAGATAACAAGCTCTCAGGTTCTTTGCCACCTCAGTTGTTTCAATCTCGAAATCTATCGGTCCTTGTGTTGTCGAGAAACAAGCTTTCTGGGGAATTGCCTGAAATCAATACTTCTTCAATAATGATACTCATGCTCTCAGGAAACAAGTTTTCAGTGCCAGTACTAAAATCTATCTCAAATATTTACAGATTATTACTGATGGACTTGTCAAACAATAGCTTTTCTGGAAATGAATTTCCAGCATTTGGACCAAATAGCTTAATTGCTTATGTTGATGTTTCTTCCAATAATTTCTCTGGTAAAGTTCCTGCGGATTTTGGACTCTTCACCTCGATGCTTTCGTTGAGTCAAAACAGCTTTTCCGGTCCATTGCCTGAAAATTTTAGCAATTTGAGTATGCTTGAACACCTTGATCTTCATGACAACAATATCAGTGGTGAATTCCCAGCTTTCTTCTCTCTAGTATTCTCTCTTAAATTACTTAATCTTAGGAACAATTCCATTGATGGATCAATCTCCAATGATCTGTCGAGTCTTAGCGGTCTCCGAATCCTCAACCTCTCCAACAACAACCTCAAAGGTGAAATTCCTCAAATCTTGGGAAATCTTACAGGGATGATTGACACACCAGATGTCCCAGTAACACTTTCTGAAATCTTCAATTTTCCCGTTGAAATCCATGACTTGATAGTGAACTGGAAGAAATCAAAACAAGGCCTCTCGATTCGGAACAATGATATCAATACTTTCCTGGACTTGTCAAAGAACCAGTTATCAGGAGAAATTCCACATTCATTAGGTGGTCTCAAAAGTTTGAAGCTACTTAACCTTTCACTCAATGAGCTTTCTGGTAAAATCCCTGTGAGTTTTGGTAATCTGAAGAGTCTTGAGACCCTGGATTTGTCACACAATGACCTTAATGGTGAAATACCGGGAACATTTTCCGAGCTCCAGCAGCTAGGTTATTTAGACTTGAGCAAAAACGAACTCGGTGGAAAGATTCCTGAAGGTCCTCAAATGGATAGGCTGGTCGATCTTCGGATTTATGCCAATAACAGTGGGTTGTTTGGGGTGCAAATTCGGGTTCCTTGTGAAGAAGATTTGGTTCCACCAGGGTCACCATTTATAAAGAAACAGGACACGATGTTTTCATGGGTAGCTACAGCAATTGGCTACGCTATTGGGTTCTTGTTTTCAACTGTAGTGATATATGTTATTGGTTATTTCAATCGTGCACCGTCACATCATCGTCGGGACCGTCATACTTCTCTAAGGAAATGATTATGAACTATATCCTTAGTTACATATTTCCCAGAGGGCTTGGGATGTAAGCATTTTTCATCAGAATTCTAAGAATGACAGTGTCCTCATTAGTCTGTTTAACAATTTCCCCATGGAATGAAAATATTCATAGTTTAACCACGAGTTTAAATGGTTAATGTATAGAAGTGCCTCACTGCAGAAGAAAGATTATATTGGAAACAATATGAATGGAATGAATCTGTTCTTGGTAGCTAAAGTGTACTACAAAAACCCATCAAATCAAATTGATGGAAGCTTTTGCAGACTGATATCTATCTTGATTTACGACCATTTGAAAGGGAATCAATGTCTGATTTACAACCATTTTTAATCAGTGAGATCAAGAAACAAGGAAACAGATTCTATTCTGTTCAGGAGTTTCGTGTATTCTTTGTAAATTTGTAAATCTGCCGCCGCTTCATTCAACCTCACCAACTCACCAGTCAGCTGGAAAAACTCAAATACAGGAGACTGTTATTCGTGATAAAACATTAATCCCATATCGGCTGAGGAAGAGTAGGAACCGGGAGCTGGAGTTAATAAATAAGAGGCAACTAGCAACCCTGCAACATACTTACCTGGACGGGGTCAATGGGTGATCAGCAAGACTCATGGCCTAGGTTAGCGACCTCAATTGCACTTGTGAGGGGCGCTCGCCTAAGGTCTCCCCAAAGTGGCAGAGCCTACGTCATAATTTGTGGCAGTGGGGACCTGCGTTCGCGCTGCCCCCGTTCAATATCATTTCGAATGTTTTCTCTGGTTTAGTTTACATGGAATTAGCAATTAATTGTTATTATTAGTCTAGTTCAAATCTTTCACCAGTTAAACCTGCTTATATCATACCATACAACAGTGTGGCAATTGTGTTTTTAATTTAAATCCAATAATGATGATGAAGAAAAACCACATGTTTGGCCAACACTAATAAACAAAGGGCGCAATTTGGATGAACGTTTAAAGCAACAAAGAGAATTTTGTCCAAATTCTCAAAATTTTAGAACCATCCAAGTTCAAGGTGGTTGTTGCCATGGACATTGAATTTGCCTCACAACAAAAGCAAGAGAATACTGAAAAACAATATGAAATGGATATGCTCTGTTACAGTTGGGTTGGTGGAGATGAGAGGGAAGAGATCGAGGAGGGCGAAGAGAACGAAGGAATTGGGGAAAGAGGAATTGGGGAAAGAGGAAGCCTAGGGTTAGGGATTGAGGATGGTGAATTGGGAATCGAATCGAGAGAAGGAATGGGAGGAAGGAAATTAGGGATTGCAATTGAAGAAGAGGAAATGATGCATTTACCCTTTCAAATGATGCGTGCAGCTGAACCGGTTCAGGAGGCATTGGATTTAGTGGAGTTCCAGACCCAAGCAGAGTTGAAGCAGCCTAAGACTGGTGACCCAGTAACCTGAAAGAGGAAGATGGAATCAGTTTGTTATAACTGTAACGCCAGCTGACATTATTTACTATTTACATTTCTAGCCTTGTAACAAAATAAGACTGGCTGTAAGGATTGATTCCTTAGATTATGAATGAATCGTTTTCCCATTTCCTAAAATCCTTTCTTCTCTATTTCCTCATTCTCAAACTCTTCTCTAATTCTCTTGAACTATAACAATTTGGTAATCAGAGCTACGATT